TTGTTCAGTGGAATCGACAATTTGCTGCTGTGACATCATCCGGAGAATAAAGGTAAAATAAAGAGGGTTCGCATATATCCCATAATGTATCCTACGCAATAACTGCAGTATTTTTTCTTTATTTCCCACGCAAGATTGGTTGTATATGTCCTACAAATTGATAACACACGTTTTACAACAACTGAGTTGAGTTATCATGGCTACCATGGGAATGACATTTGGCTATCTACGGACTACTTTGTTAGGTTTTTAATGCATTATGAAAGTACCGAAAAATAAGCCATTCATTTCAGTAGATATGCAATGTTGGCATTAAACCAAATATGCTTGAGTTCAAAATGTGCAACTTAAACTGGATAAAAATACAAAATTTTTAGAGTCAGTAAAGTAAAAAATATGGTGTGCTTGGTGGTCATATCCCAAAACATATATTGTTTTAGTAAAAAAAAACATAAATATAAATCCATGCTTGTTCATTGCCAATTCATATTTCCCTCTACAATATAAGACACTTTATAAACAATTGTGCTTAGTGAAAACATCTTTGTCTCACCAACCGAAGATTTGTCACGACTTGTAATACGACGAGACCACTGTACAATGTACAACATAGAAATAAGTCTAAAAAAATCTCAATTTTCCATGAGAAGTAACTATCGCTTTTGATTCCCATAACTATGACATAAAATAAACAAAACCTGGCATCATTGATGCAATAAATAGTTTTTACAATATGTCTTGAGATGACTACAAATACCAAAGTTATATAAAACAAAGGTTCCGTGAGGTTCTGATATTTTTCTTCCAGTTAGTTCCAGGTCGCCGCCCTACTTATTTTTTTAAGGGGTCCAGGGAGGAAGTTGAAATTTGGGATGATGTAATTGACGAATAAATAAATGCTATATTTTAACATACCAATAATAGTTGAATGTATCAAGATCGTGGCTGGCGAGAAGCTCCTTATAAGTACTTCAAGTACATATAAGTACTAGAATGTAAAATCAGTATCTTTCAAATTGCCGAACTTGCAGGCTGTCAAAGTTGAGTGTAGAATGTTACATCACTATTTTTCTTTTAGCAGGGTTTATCTAAATGTGCAAAAAATATGACATTCCATTTAAAAAAAATGAAAGATTTTAACGGAATGTTTTATTGCATATTCGGGTAGATCCTTTTATATAGCACTCTGTAGCGTTTTGATTATTGTTTGTTTTATACGAGTAGCAAACTTAATGTACAAAAATGCTCAACTTTTGCAGACTGCCAGATTGCTATTTTGAAAGATAGATATTTTGAATTGTTGTTGTACTCATAAGAAACTTCAAAATGAGGTAGCCCACGACCCCTCATTCCATTTAAAATTCTCCGCCATCTAGACTCAAACCTCAATAACCCAGAGATCATCACTTGACCGAGTACCCGGCCGAGTTTTCGGGTATTGGGTTTTCGAATTTTTCCAACTGCCCGGTACTCGGCATTTTGAAAAATAAAATATTCTGTGCACCCCTAATATTTTTTATCCTCATCCAACTTTGACGTGTCGGTACTTTCATCACCGAAGCACTGCTTTCAATCCTCGTCAAGGAATATATTGAAAAACTCAAAATCGCATAGAAAGTAACATTGCCGTTTTCAAATCAATGCGCGGAGGCTAGATAGATAAATAAACATGCAACTGAACGTATTTCACAATAGATTCTTTAACACTGGATCGCCACTCCGACTCATGCACCTGTTCATAATAACATCAGTAAAATACATACTGTACAATTAGGCATAAACATTATAAATGTTGTATATTCTCTCAAGGTTGGAATGTTTATGGTGGAGATCTCAAACGAGATCGGCGCGAATAAAAGCTCGTACTGCGAATTTTAAACAATCGGCACATGGAAATAGCCGCGAGTAAACATCGACAGACAATATCGGACGCAAGTCAAGGACAAGGCGATGTGGGTTTGCCTTCAATTCGGCCTACGCTGCGTCTTTTTTCTTACTGTTCGCGAAGGCAGATCGGGTATTTTATTCCGTGCAGAAATACAAGAATTTTCGGCCATATAGAATGTTTACAGGCGTTGGCATAAAAAGCGACTGTAGAGAATACTCGGAATACTGGAAAAGCCAACCAAAGATGATATAGGCAAAAAGGTTCACAAAGATCTTGTTAAAATATACGATACTTGAAAAACGGAACCGGCTGTATGCAAGTTCTGCCGAAAATATAAAAGAATGCATATCATCTGTGCTATTCTTATTTTTTTAATGAAATAGCGGTCACGTGAAGTTCATCGGTATTTTTCCCAGTAAACATGAAAAGCTATATTCACATTCTTGGATTGTACGTTAAGGATACTAAAATATATAAACTAATAAAGCATGTACTCAGCACACGCAGTTCACATTCCTTTAAAGAATATCCTGCTAAAGAACGTTCTTACAATATGCGATTCTGAACAGACAAGAATATTCATCTTTACGACATACTGATCTCTTCCTTTACGGTTCCCGTTTTGAGATATTCACAATATGCTTTTATCATGAAATTTTAACTCTCGGACTGCCTCATTACCTCTACGAGAAAATAACATTCAGAAAAGACATCCATTCCGTAAATATTCGTTCGAAACAAAACATTACCGCTCCATTCCACCGAACTAAATTTTATGAAAGATCATTTACGTATAATATATATAAGGGATACAATCCTATCCCCCAGTACCTCAAATCATATGAAATTCGTAAGTTCAAAGCAGTTTTGCGTGATTCTTACCTTGTATGTATAAAGTAGAATTATTCTTACTGCTGCATCGGAATTTCAATCTTATTTTGTTTGCATTTCAATATTTTATTTATATTTTTTTTTTTCATATGATGCATAATGTACGTTATATGGATTCATATATGATTCTAGGCTTTTAAATTTACCACCACGTTTTCTGTTTGCTCTTTTTTTCAAACTTAATTGTCGTTCATATTGGCGTTTGTTTATGCGGTATGTATAGGTATATATATATATATATATATATATATTATTCTAGACTTTCTTTTCTTTTAAAATTTACTACCACGTTTCTCACTTTTCCTCACTGGCAGGCTGTCCGGCGTTTTCAATAATAAATCACAACCAATCATCAAAACGTTATTTAATGCAATACTCAGTGACCCAAATTCTAAAGAACCCCAAAATTGTACAGAAAAGGCTTATACAGTTCATAGCTAACTTTTTTCTCAGAGGGGCCAACTTGTGCTAAATATAATCCTTTATGATTTGATGACAGCGAAACAGAGTCAACTACTTGGCGCTATGTTTTTCAACGGAATGCCCCCAATTTCATTGCACATTCAGATAGACCCGTCCAAACGAAAAACGTTGACAACATACTTTTTCATGATTAGCTGTTGAGTTCCAAGCGGTTCAATGTACAAAAACTCTTAACTCTGACAGCCTGCTCGTGCGCCATTTTGAAAGATGTTGATTTTATATAATAAAGTACTCATAAGAAGTTTCAAAATGACCTCCCATTCCATTTAAAAAATACTCCAAGATGCCACCTAAATATAGTATTCTTGCATCAATTTCATCATCCCGAATTTCAGTATATAAACCTGACCCATTCAAAAAATAAGTAGGGGGAGACCTTTTTTGAAGCACTGTATACTAAAGAAAAATTGAACAAAAGTTAAATCAAGGCAAACAGATAAACCATAACCATGACATATCTGGCATTCTAAATCGTTTCTTTCAGCCCTTAAATTAATAAGTTATACAATGTTTTTTATAAGCTCTAATGCCGCTATTCCACACTGTAGATTTCCGAGACGTGTTGACTATAGCCTCCTTCCATGAATTGCACAGCTAATCTGCAGGTTCGCACCTTTACGATCATAAACTATATAAAAGTCCTTGAAAGGCACCATTGATAATTTTGATATTTAATAGTACCATGTATATGTTACTGCTGTCATCGCGAACAGGTGTTCGGTATGTTCGAGAATTCTCACGTTGATAAAGAACGATGGAATGGTGATAAAAACAAGTTGTGCACAATCGATCAATCAAGTCCATTTATGGATCTCCGGTGAAATCGTGGTTGTGTTATAGTTATACATAGATTGATTATGCTGCAAGACTAACTGGAATATAGAAAAAGGCGTTATTTTTTCTTTTATCTTTGGAATTATAATAGTAATAATCATAAGTATTTTCAACCAACACATCTATCTACAAATCTACAAATAGACGCTGGTAACTGAGACACAAATAAACTAGAAATTTATAGTTAATTAAAGGACATTACAAAATAATGTCAAGTAGACTGACGCTGTATCTCCCACCAAATTGTGCCAGTTTAGATTTGAACATTCGGAGGTATTTTGCAACTTTCGATCTTTTGGAATCATGAAATTTAAAGTACCAAATATTTGTGGGCTATTACGTCATTGTCTGCTATTCATAACACGAGCGGTTGACATCTTCAGAAGCACTTCAGAAGCTCTGCAATCTTGAAGATAGCCCAAAAACATTTGGTGATACAAATTATGGCCGTGAATGCCTTATACAGTTCCTATAACATTTAAGTCTGAACTGCAACTGAAAAATGCAGGTCTCTAATTCCAAGTAAGCAAACATTCCAAGCATCATTAATGGCACAATGCTAAATATTCACATCTAATTTTCAAAATCCTTGCGCATGAAACTGTTGAAAAATGAAACAATGTTTAATCCTGATTCGACTTCGCAGAGTAATGATGATAATCTCGGAAGAAAGTTTTTATTTCTGTTCAAAACTTTATCCTCCGCAAAATAGCGATATTGTGTACAATTATATAAAAATCTGGGTTACAAAGGGTTCAGAGACAAATGGTATACACATAGTCAGACAGAAATTAGTACATTTAACATCCGAAAGGCCCCGTTGCTGTTCTTGGTTGCAACAGTGCTGCTAATAGGTGACTTTTTGAATTACTGCACTTTTCTAATATATTGCTCTTCTTTTCAGGTACGCAACTGGAAGCAACTTAACATGGCTTCAACGGCAGCAACAGAAACTGAAAGAGCGTCGAGAATTGCAGCTCAGAGAAGAACGGCAGCCTCACGAAACTCGGCTGCTATCAGAATTGAAACGTGTACAAAGTAGACATATGAGACCTACGGCTAGTCATAGGTAAGCATCCTAGCTTCAACTTTTTCTAGTATATACGAAGAAACGACTTTAATCAAACTTGAATTGAACACATTCCTGTCCTTCAGAAAAGTATGTGAATTTTGATAACGTGTCAAGATAGTGTTGACGAGTGATATGTTAGGACAACAAAATTAAGTTTGATCCAAAGTTTTATACGTCGTGATGAAATTACAAAATATTCAGTTTTGTTCTTGAAAGCAATATATCCTAAGAATACTTTGTTTTCAGGCTAGATGGATATACCAGTGACACAACAGCTTTTGCTGACGATGATGATGATTACACCATCCCTTTACATATCAACACCACCCAAAAAACTGGCACATTAGGTTCAACTTCCAGTTACAGTACTCTAAAGTCTAATTATAGCGGTACGAAAGAAAGGCCGTTCATGAGTGTCAAAAGGGCACATGACTTCAATTCACAGGTAACGCTATACTAGAATTACTAACCTCTTCCAGTAGTGTGTTGCCGGAATTTACCATAAAATTGTGTGATCTCGATGCACTTTCTTTGATTTAGCTTTTGAGATAGAACCTCATTCGCAGTTTTCAGTTTATTATAAATGTTTATGTATACTATCAACTAATTATATTGTCGATTGAGCTATACTAAATAGTGACGCGATCAAAATAAAAATAAATAAATTCGAATTTTCGATATTTATTCCAACCATAAAACTTCACAAGTACATAAACACGTTCGTCGCACTCAGTTATTTCTTCACCTTTAGTTACATATAATCATAAATATAACACTTATAACCTTCAATAACACAGTAAATACCAGGTGTTCAGAATGTTGGAACTCTCCTTTTCAGAAAGTTTGAAATAACAGCTAATATGCGGGGTCACGCCAGCGAAATTGTGAAAAAAATTTAGAAAAGTGCTAATTTGATAAGAAATTTCCTATGTTGCTTGAAAATACTTTTAAGGTTGTTCGTTCGATTCGTAAACAGAAGAAATGCATTCCCCAGCTTGAAATATCTGTTCATGCCTAAAGTTTGGTTTTGCATAGATCAAATCAGATCGGTGAAGTCCTCCATTCTCCATACACTGAGCAAACCGATTCATGGCGTTTTATCATTACTCTTGTCAGCGTAGCAGGTGTTATGTTGTGTATTTCTTCCTGTCTTCAAATCTGGTAGGATCCCTGGACGGTTCACATAAACACGGGATTCAAAAAAGCTCCGTAGAAAAAATTATAAGGAGACAAATCGGGAAAGCCGCTCCTAATCGCCCCTAATTGAGACGATATTTACATACCGGTTCGAAATCACTGTTACTGTGACTTCCATTTGCCTCGAAGAACCAGCGATCAATAATTCCAAGTGAGGGAATTGCATACCTCTCTATGACTTTAGGTAAATGCAACGTCTTTTGATGCAATACTTGAGGATTGGTCTCAACATAGAAGCACATGTGTTGTTGTTGACGGATCTCCACAAATGAAAAGAGGCTGCATCACTGAAAAACACAACAGCATCCTCAGAAACAAGGTCCAGAAGACGTTCATCTTGTAAGGATGGAAATGATAATGATGAATTCTCCTCAAAGAACTGTCTGAATATCCTTGGGTGATCTAATGGGCCAAGGGAGTCCAGTTCCTGGTCTTGTCGCACTTGCAGTTTGAACATAGGGACCCAGGTAACAATTGATGTGCTGTCCGGGACAGAGGGCCATCGGAGTTAAATTAGAGCTATTCCGAAAGGCTGCTACACTCTGTATAAACATACGCGGTGCGGGATAGAAGCGCCCGGGTAAACTATTTAAAAACACTCGCGAAACGTCAGCAGCATCTCGAAGATACTCACTGTAAAGCAATATCGAATTGACAGGTTCGCTTTAGCTTTAGGAATATTCCTTTTCGTTTTTTTTCAAATCCGATTTACAAACAAACAGCACAGTTTATCCACCACACAGCATACGGCATCCGTATTGGATACTGGCGCGTGATACATCTAACCCTTTGCTTAAGGCAATGAACTCAACTATCCGTTTTGGTGTGTCTCTTACTAGGAAAATCTGCTTATTCTGAAAGAGGTATACACGCTGTATAAAGGAAAGTTCCATTTATAAGAACACCATCTATACTAAAGTATAACTTAGGATCACTCAAATCATTGCACAGCACAAACATTATCATTTCAGAACCGCGATCACCAAACGGCAGCCCAACTCCTAGCAGCCAATCCTCTAGGCCACGCACTTCGCACCCCTCCAGACTCTGGTCTCCTGTCAACTGTGGAGGACCACTACAAAGTTTCAGGCACAACCAATGGAGGGCTGACCACGGTGGGTATCACCTCCTCCTCTGAGGACTCGCCTCCCTCCTCAACGTCTACCGACCAGCACCACCAGCAAGACAGCGCGCACCGACTAAACGCACTCAACGATCTTATTGCTAACCTATCAGGCAGCGGCTCTGATCACTCTAGTAACAGTCCTAACAGCACCACTTGCGCCGCATGGCAGGTATACATCTACTAACAACGGCACGCTGTCTCATTGTATCCCGTTCTTGCACAAAGATTTCAGAATGACATTTGTTAACACTCACCACCGACTACTAATGAATATAGACCTATCTACTTACATTCGTGTTATTGCAGATATCTCCTCAGAAGAGAGAGAAGGGTTAATAAGTCCAGTTTTCAGCCTAACTTTAATTAGGATGAAAATATTCAGTACATGTACAGTTCCCGTAGTATCTACTAAAAACTCTAAGTTCGTTCCACCTGCACTCCCATTTGTGTTCTCCAATCACCCCTTAAAATAGTCGAAATGCCATCAAGTAATAATAGCATTTTTGGGAATATCCGTCATTGGCAAACTAATAATTATTTTTTTAATAACGTACTAATAACTATATTTTAACTATTCTCACAGTTATTTATCACTTTTTGTCTTTTGCCCACTTTGAGGAGGTAGCGGGGGGTAAAAAGGCAAACGGTGGATTTACTACACAGGCCTATAAAAACGGGTATCTCAACTTTACAGGTGTCATATGATTTCCGATGTATTGTTGTCTTCTGAATACGAATCCTCGGTCAGTTTTGCTCAGCCCTTCTTCAGTGTTCAGAAAAATGAAGACTTTTAAGGAATCGTTGGATCTACACATGCGACATATGACTTACAAAGTGTTGTTGGCTACTTATCACAATCCTGTGATAAAGCGCCTATAAAAAGCACTTCAGAAGCTCTGCAATCTCGAAGATATCCCAAAAACATTTGGTGCTACAAATGATGACTGTGAAAGCCTTATACAACTCATATGACATTTAAGTTTTTAAAGCTTTTGGAATCTGAAAACTCCAGGTCTCTAATTCAAAATTACCCCAAAACTAATTGCATAATTCCAAGTAAGCAAACATTCCAAGCATCATTAATGGCACAATGCTAAATAATATAATATAATTTTCAAAATCTTTGCTCATGAAACTGATGAAAAATGAAACAATGTTTATTTTTCAATTCTGATCCGAATCCGCTGAGTAATAATGATAATCTCGGAAGAAATTTTGGTTTTCTGTTCAAAACGTCATCCTCCGTAAAATATCGACAGCACCTTATGCATTTAAACCGTACGCACTGATAGTTAACCCAGAAACAACTGGTTAGATAACCGTTTCCTTTGCGGGGTTTGTTTAAAGTGAGTCTCCTTGCTTTTTAGTGGAGTACCTACATTTTTTTTTCTCATTTTTCACTCTCCCTCTACATCTTCTCCATTTTCTGCATCCCCTTCATCTGAGTTTTCAAAGTCCGCCGCATCAACCAAAAAACTGAGATACTCTGAAGATCCAAGGAAGGTGAAGCAAAGCTGACCAAGATTTGTGTTCAGGAAACAAAAGGACTCCGGAAATCATATAATGTAGCATGTGCTGAGCCAATCATCCTTCAAATCTTCATTTTTCTGAAGACGTTTAGTGATTTCCTGAAGACGGAAGCGTGATGGAACTAAAATGACCACAAATTCGTATTCAGGAGACAAAAATACTCCGAAATCATATATAGCATATGTAGAGCCAATCACTCTTGAAATATCTACATTTTTATGAAGGTTTTTAGCAATTTTCGGAAGACTGAACCACTGATTCGTGTTCAGAAGACAAAAATACATCAGGATATCATACGTCACACGTCAAGTAAAAAAAAACGTGTCTTTGTCCTGTGTAGTAAGTCCACCCCTCAACTTAGTTAGTAGCTCGCTATCAAGAAAATCTTAGTTTGCCAGTGACTGTTTCCAAACATGCTTATTTTATTAGGTGATGGTATTTTTAATATTTTAAGGGGTCGTTGGCGGACACTAGGAGGCTAGGGATGATCCGTTTAGGGTGGAATCGACTTTAGTAGATACTACACGAACCCGTTTTGAACATTTTCATAAAAATTGAATTTAGGCCGAAAACTCTCCTCCTTTGTCATGTTGCATGTCTCTCAAAAGAGACAAATAAATCTCAGAAAAATCTTTCTATCTATAAATGGTATTCAGCACCTATTAATAAGTCTGTATTCTGTTTTACTGTATCCAACAAAACAAATTAACCTCACTTAATTTATATGCTGTACCGAAAAATTGCCGACTGTGCCATTTCTCTCAAATCCTCCACTAAACAATATTAAAAAAGGTCGCAGCAACTAATTTTTGATTTTATGAATGAATCAAGAGGTCTATATTTTTTAATAGTCAGTGACACGCAAAACTTGACAATATAGTAGCACAACATTTTGTAGTACTAGTTCTGTTATAAATTGTATAAATATTGTTTGCAACCATAGTTGAGCATTAATCCAATAAGTTATCCGAATAAATATTTATTGGCAATATAACTATTAGTAAATATTTCGTCCACGAATAAATTAATCAAAAAATAATGATATTCATAAAAAGTATTTAATGTCATGGAAATTGAACACACAGGATTGAATATACAAACTTTAGATTATATAATACTATTTTCTTACTAGATTTGGTTTTACTTGCCAGCTGGCTAGTTTACTTTTATCATTTTGCATGTTGTGTGTTCCTAAACGCTTGAGCTTTAGATTCTGTAGTACATTTGTTTGCACTCAACTGACTTCTTTATCATTTACAGCCCATCATATTTGTTTACATGTTTTAATAATGTTCGTGCTACATTTTTAAAAATCACAACAACTGAACCGTTATCAGTCTTTCAATACACTGTTTCCACTTTTTACTGCAACTATCACATTTGCCTTTAGCATAGTTTTTCAAATCTACTGAGATATGTAGAACCAGCCATCAATTTTTAATTTAAATACTCGTCAACTTTCAATTTCCCACATAAAAGTCGCAACTAGTTTTTGACTTTTCAAATTGAAGAATGAATCCAATGCAAAAATTGTTTTCCAACTGAACTAAACCAACTAAATTGAGTTACCCACGTCTTTATGCATACCTGGATTAAAATTCTGCATCGTTCTTATAGAATAGATAATGTAGACCAAAATTATGCCATAATTCAAATGATTATACAATGATATACTATTCTTCTACATTATCACTCCGGTAGGGTATGTACAAGGTATTCCGCTATAAATTGACCCCCTCTAATTTTTCTGTATGACCTTTTATATAAAAAAAATGTTTTATTTAAAAGTTGTAGGGTCTAATATAAAGTTTTACGTTTGATACCTTTATTATCTCTCGGAAGAGTGCTATCGAATTAAGCTGCATTTTTCCACGCGGAACACCCCGTATAATTTGAGTGGAAATGATAGACGGTTTTTTCTGACTCCAATTAGATATAGTTTGTTGTAGTTATGTGCATTACTTTGATTAAAAACTTGAATTTTGGCCAAAGTAATCACATTTATTATCTGAGATCAAACCAGTTCGCATCTAGCCTCTCATGTTATCTGGCTTTTGACTAGAATAATGAAAATACGCTTAAAACTATATATTCTTTAAATTAGAAAACACTATCATTTCCACTAAAAATATAGAGGGTGTTCCATTCAAAAAAATACAACTTTTGATATCATTTTTCTGAGACACGCTATATATAGAAAAATGCATTGCCTAAAAAACTTCATTTTACCCTACAACTTTTGTAAAAAAAAAATTTCTAATAGATCATGGTTAAAATTAAAAGGGAGGGGTTGAATTTACAGCGCATAAGCATTTTTTCTTTTGCATCTGAAAAATTTACTCTAACAGAGGTAAACTTAATAATGTCTCCTTGGAGAGTAAAATATATTGGAAGACAAATAATTCTAACAGGAAACATATTGTCTTTCTAAACTGGCGTGTTGAACTTCTTGAGTTTCAACTTATTCTGCAAAACAGAAATATTTTATCTTGTTACCAGTATCGAGAAGAAGGTCACGTGTGGCAAGCACAGTCGCTCAGCGAAGTTGACAGCAGTTCGTCTCCTAGACCCCAAACTCCAGCGTTCCCAGTTGCCAGGACACCCTACATGAACAATACCCCCACCCCAACGCCAACAGTACAGTTCGACTTGCCGTCCGAGAGGTTGCCTCCCAAGAGTCCGAATACCCAGCGGTAAGCTGTTTTTATCATTAATTACCCCTGAAAATAAGTTATAATTTGCTGGACTCAATCTTTAACGTTATTTATATACGAGTATTTTAGGATACCATAAAATTTTGTTCTACCTGTATCTACCTAAGGCCCAGTTTTTCATTCGCAAGTTAACTGCTTGACTGCTAACCAGAAGTTAACTCTCAAAAAGCGTTTTTCAATAACAAGTTTCTCCTAAAGTAGTAGCTAACGTCAACCTGAAAAGCACGTATGGGATACGTTGTGGTCAAACGGTATAATGTCTAGCCTAATGTGCTTGACAATGACACAAGTTGCCATGAGACACAAATACCGAACATCACGGAACATATAGAACTCGATAATTCAGGCCTAAAAGCAGCGTTGCTGTATCAATGGATTGTAGATAGTTAACCAGAACTTGAAAAACAAATTCACAGGCAACTTGCCACGCCTTTTTTTGGTTAATTAATAAAACACAATGATAAATGCTATCTAACGGTTGGTCCAAGCAAAACAGTTGTCTAGTGGCGTGCACATTTAGGCCCTAGCTCAATAAAGCGGAGAGTAGGGGCGGGTTGAGAGCGCCAGTGACTTAGGACGAATTAAGCCACAACTCCCCGAGATATTAGTCGGAACTTGTTGTTTTAAGTAACAGTACACACAGAGAAAGAGAGAGAGAGCCAAATAAACAAGATATCAAATGGATTACAATATATTGATTAAAAAGAACAAAGCTCACATCTGCTCCACCACTGCGAGAAAGGATATTACCAAAAAAAGAACTGTCGCAAAATAAAATTACGTATAGTTGGCGTTTACCATAGTATACGCTTTACATAATTTTTTTACGCCTAAACTACGCTTATCTGGGTGGAGGTCTTCTCCCAGTTACGGCTAGGCGCAGCCGAGATGTATCCCAGGTCAAAAAGAACAAAAAAAAAGGAAGCCAGTGGTGGGCACGTCACTGGGCAGGGGCTGCTTGCCTCGGTCCCAAAAATTATGATGGTAACAAGAAAAAAAAACCTGTTCACATCAGGGTTTTTTTCAAAGGGATGGCTTCCAATTTGCAAAACTGCAAAGAGGGGGAGAAAAGACGAGGATTTTCTTCTGTTTCGCTGAGGATCAAAATCCCATAAAAAAATGGAAGACGTAGCACCCAAAACAATTAAACTTAAGTTACACAACAATAAGAAAAGGGTGCTAGTCTCTCAATGGGCGCTTATGACCTAATATCCCAGAGTCCGGAGAACGACAAAAAGACCCCTGCACCACGACCTCAACGGAAGCTGAAAAGCGAATCACAGAGTACGTAACGTTCTAGAGGAAGGAATCTTGAGTGGCTTTGAAGAAGATATGTTTTATAGGAAGCCAACTAACGGAGAAAAACTGCAGAGTTTTTTGCTGATCGTCAACACCATACTGAATCGCTGAGAAAGAAAGATATAATACGAGTGAAATTACACAATCAATAAACTATTAAATTAGCAAAAACAAAATCATTGAAAAGGGGTTTGTCCTAGGAATGGGCACTCTATTATCAATGAGGAGAAATTCAAATTACTGATGAGTGATGAATAGGAAAAAAAAGGTTACGTGATTTTGGCACGTGACAAACTGATAGTCAACTTCCAAGTTATAGTTACCTTATTTAAAAGTTAACCATCGATTGAAAATCCGGGCCTAAATAATAATACAGGCCGACAAGATTTTTACCCAGAAACCGGAGTATAAAATTGCAAAAATAGGAATTTTTGCCTATATTTGAGGTTATGTATGTAGCATGGCGAATTTTTTTTTCAAATAACCGGAGACATTATTTCAAAGTACAAGTCTTGACCTTTCAAATGCCGCTGAGCTGCAGAAATATTTTTCTTTTTTTTTCGCTGATATACGTCACTTTAAATTTTACTTTTTTTAATTCCACTGCATTTGATACTCTACACTTTATAGTTACTTGTGCCTCAAAGTTGTGGTTTGGATTGTAATACACCAAAAATTTGATGTAATTTTATGAAATAAGGTCTGCCAACTAAAGCACCCATAAATCCTCAACAATAAATCGATAAAATATCTCAAACTTACCCAAACCACAACTTTGAGGCACAAGTAACCATAAAGTGTAGAGTATCAAATATAGTAGAAATAAAAATAGTGAAATTTCCTAAGTGATATATATTTATGCAGCTCAGCGGCATTTGAAAGAACGATGCTTATATTTTTAGATGATATCTATAGTTTTTTTGCCAAAAAAATAATTCGCCATGCTACATAACCTCAAATATAGGCAAAAATCGCTATTTTTGCACTTTTAAGTTAGGATATCTCGGAAACTAGAGCCAATTGAAATATTTGTATTCGGATTCAGGGCCACTAAAACCTTAGGGAAAGTTTACTCTGATATCTGGGTAAAAGCGTCGGCTCACTTTTGTCGGCCTGTGGAATTTAGAAATATGTTTCTTGAGCCTACAGCTTTACTCACCCACTGTATCATCATGCTTCATGATAAAGCATGAAATCTTATAAGTTTTTGAAATCGTGGCTGAATGCAAAGCCTATCCTCATTTGAGCATAGTATACACCCACGCCTTTGTAATATTATGAAAAAGTGAGAAGCTGTTGTATTGAGTTTAATTTTGTGTGGCATATATCATCGCAAGCTATTATTGCGCAACTTATTCATGGCTATTGCAAAAAAATATTTCCTCCTTATCTAAATGCACAAGCGCCACCCCCTTATAAGATCCCTAATATTGGAAAGAGATTCTATGAAAAAATTTGAGTGCTCGATTCAAAATGGTAGACACTTTCTCTTACTGAAAACCTTAATTTTGAAACAGACAAATTCAGTATGTGCGAGTTGCTTTACAAGCTTAAATTTAAAATAGTTATGTCCTATATTAGAAGTCAAATAATCCAACTTTAACAAGTTGCCTGTCATATTATTGAATGAAAATGTGGAGTATGAAACTGTATGTCAGTTAAGTGTGCATATATTAATGTCTGTTGAACTTTGTAGCCGTCTGAGTTTTCCCTCATCGACTAAAAATTTGAAGTGGTCACTTTCTCCAGAAAGGTAATGATAATCCTGAATGTTATAAATGTCATGTAACCAGTCACTAGCGCATGTGTTAATTTATGATCACTACTATTAGCGTATTTACTTAGGTTAGCATAATAAGTAAGTCCAACATGAACATGAATTAAATTATTTGTTTTTGTTTCCGATAATCCCAAATCTCTCTACTTGTGTGTACAAAATCCAGTTCCTTTACACAACATGTTTACCATCCTATGTTAGTAACACCTACATTAATTTATGTTTAAGTATCCAGTACATTGGTTCAATGCCGATTACACAGCCCCGCAAAAAAAAGGTTAAGGTTAAAATTGAGTTCGGGATGTCAGATCCTGGAGAATGTATTATCCGTTGCCCAATCCGAATTATTTGGGGTCAACGAAATTTTTACACCCCTATAATTCGCCCTCGGGACCAGAAACTACCCATAGCCTCTCTCAACCCCGGTACTTATATGTGCTCTTCAACGCTGGATGCGAACCCAGTGAACATGATGACTCCAATACGACGTCATTATTCGGTCACTTTTGGTCGCAAACGTCATTGACGCCATTTTTATGACGACAACAAGACGTCATTTTTACGTCTTTTTTAAGACAGTCAGTACTGAAAAATCAACACTTACTTACAAAGAAAATATAGACTTTTAATGAACAGTAAGGTTTACCTCAATAGATATCCAAATACTAATAACTGCCTTATTGTAATTTATAAAAATTATCAGGAATTCTTCGAAATATCTTGGTAGTATGACTTTTCTAATAATAATATTTCATCATATTCAGACATTTCAAATTTCCACTTTACATGTTTAATTCCCGTAAATAACAAATTTATTAGAAACTCCTCTGTATAACAATAAACAAGATTTACTAGAATATTTGCAATCAGGCGCGGTAAAAATCCAAATCTAGGAACGATCATCAGCGAAGAAGCACGATTGTGCTTGGTGGTGGGGTTAGTTTTTGGGCCCGAGGGTGGATTTTGGCATCTGGCTTCCCAAACTCAATTTTCACCTCTTCTAGGGGTAGTTGTTAGATCGTGGATAAATTCCAGACGTCTATGTTTTCTGATTCAGCGTCAAAAAATACGTAGGGAAATCATGGTCTGTCTCACCGATCTCGACCTTTTTGTGGGGTTGCCTCACTAAGATATTTATTTTTTTAGACAGATGTTACTATAACACTTGATGTCTCCATTGTGAATGCATGCTTGCACTAATTTCATTTTGCGCATGTAGTGTGACGTATTTACTGCAAATTATGCTATGTTTACATGTTTCCTTTGAAATATGTTCGCTTCATTAACTGTCCACAACTACGTCAGTATGCGTCTTAAGGTATCTCCTTGACAGAATATTTATGAAGTAAACACCTGCACACTTTATTGCAATTAATTCGCACAGTGAATAAAAATGCGCACCTGTAGTAGTACAAAACCTGATTTATGATCATAAACATTAGCACTGTTTTCGTACAACTGTCAATAACTATTTAATATATCAAAACTGGATGATCGTATAACATGTACATACCATCATTTATGTTTGTATTATAACTGTACAGTTCAAATATCAAATGTTCCAGTAACTTAATGCTCTATACCGAGTGTTTCAAATTCGATTCATTGGGATCTCGGATATGGTAAGAGATAGGAAGTCTGTCGAATGGGGGCAAAATTGCGGATTCAATTCAATTCTGCATATTTCCAAAGATGGACGAAATAAAGCTCAATTTTCCCAAAAGCGTTTTTATAAAGATAAAAATTTCAATCTACAAGATGCCATCATTAGAATTTCATCCTTTGTCTCCAATCACTAACTTTGTTGTCTTATGCATAGACGCCTTATTCGATTTTTGCAAAGCAGAATAGACTGTTTAAGTAATAAATAAATAATGATAGAAACATTTTGAAGTACGGAAAAGTCTCTACGATGTTGCAGCCTCCTAAGCACATTTCAAATTGCCCATATCTAAACCGATGCACGCATCTTTTATTCAAATACTACTAATTTATGGCTGAAGTGACATGCAAAAAATGTCTTTTAATACACGCTTCTCAGAAATTGTAGCATTGGATATTTAATCGGATAAACGTGTGGTAAACTCTTTTCAACTATGAAAATCTTTCTGAAATAATTTAGGTATAACAATGTGAATGTATGGCATATTATTCATTTCTGGAATCAGACTTAAAAAGTCTATTCACCTTTGCAAAATCCCAATATGGTGTTTATCTATAAGAAACAATAGATAACAAGAGACGAACCGTCATATTGAAATTCTAGTTATGCCGTCTTGTATAGGAGAAACGATTTTGGAAAATGTCAGCTTCTTCCGTGTAACTAACGAAAATCAAATTATATAACATTTTTTACAACTTTTGTATCTGAATGTATGTATGTATACTTTTCTGTTTTGTAAATAATTTAAAGATGTTCCCTCTTGTATTGAATTGAAAATACTTGTTTGTTTTGCTTTACGTTTAATTATACAGTGCTTTTCTTTAATGTCCCCTCCCCTTTGATTTTTTGAACGGTACAATTCAAAAAATTAAAACTTGAGGCGATGAAATTGATGCTTGGATACCAAATTTTAGAGTAAAACTCACAGATGAAAATGTCAACATGTCGGCTGGGAGCCATCTTGGGAAAAAATTATATGAAAACGGAGATCTTGTTTCATCATCTTGAAGCTCCTGACGAGTACTTTAGAACCCTAGAATATAAAGTCAATACCTTTACCTACTACAAAATGGTGGTACATATAATAGGTACTTGAACACAAACCCACTAACATGCATATCTCTACAAATAATTGTAATTCCCTGCCGCATCCACAGCAACAGCGATAAAAACTTGTTGTTTTTTACAGGAAAATAAAACATCATTGTACAGTTAAAATATTCTTATTTAGTTTTCGGTTTTAGTGCTAGATACCATTTGAACTATTTTTAAAATGGTCAATTCTCGTCCAGTGGAAGAAAAAATCGAAGCGATTTTTATTTATGGTGCGACGCGTAACTTTCACGAGACCGAAAGGATTTTTAATTATCGTTTCCCGCATCGTCCTATCTGTAGAAAATATTTAAGGGAACTTGTATCTAAATTTACAGCTACTGGTTGTGTAAACAACAAAAATCCCCAGATCATCCGACCATCCCGGAAGAAAAGCAAGTTCAAATAATTGGTGAGATGCTAGTAAATCCCCAACAGTCTACTTCCTCCATCGCGAATGTATGTGAGGTTCGTCCTTCTACTGTATGGAGACTTTTGAAAAAGAATCAGTATCATCCATAAAAAATTCAAATGGTACATCAGCTAACTGAAGATGACCCTGATCGAACAAAAGAATGCTGCGAGACTATGACGGAAACCATTGCACGGCATCCTACCCATATTCAAAATATTTATTTTAGTGATGATAGTATATTTTTTCTCAACGGTAATGTGCATACACAAAATTGTCGTTATTGGAGTGACACCAATCCTCACGTCTTCCGGGAAACTTATACTCAATATCCACAAAGAATTAACGTTTGTGCTGGGATATTGGGAAATCATATTGACTATTGACCCTCTAATCACCGAAATCGTCGAAGCGAATCCTAATGAACTCGATACTGATATTGTATTCCAGCAAGATGGTGCTCCACCACACTACTCCAGAAAAGTTAGGAATTATTTAGATAACAATTTCCCCGGTCGTTGGATTGGCCGTCGAGGTCCTGTGGAATGGCCAACTCGTTCGCCAGATTTGACACCTTTAGACTTTTTTATAGGGCTATTTGGAGCAAAAGGTGTACGAAACTGAACCTGCATCAATATCATATATACGGCTGAGAATAACAAATATTTGCAGAAATATCCATTTTCAGCATCTTCTAAACTGAACTCAACGTATTTATTCAAATTATCAAGTTAAATGTCAATGTATTCAGGTAGTTATTAAATGTACCACCATTTTGTAGTGGGTAAAGGTATTGGCTTTGTATTCTAGGGTTATAAAGTACTCGTCAGGAGCGTCAAAATGATGTGCCACAAGACCCCCGTTTTCATATAATTTTTTTTCCAAGATGGCGCCCAGCGGCCTTCTTGACATTTTCATCTGTCAATTTTACTCTAAAATATGGTATCTACGCATCAATTTCATTACCTCAAGTTTTAATTATTTGATTTGATCCGTTCAAAAAATCAAAGTGGAGGGGGACATTAAAGAAAAGCACTGTATGTGCTATGAACTTCCTCTTCGGACGAGTGTTATGTCATTTTTATGATCTACAAAACAATAAATGTATCTGCCTATCTATCATCTCCGCAAATACTCCCATTTAATCGACTTTGTATCTCTTTCCGTTTCCATGATACTGACGCAAAACATCGTACCTTGTGATTCGAAAGTATTTCGAAACTTAATATTAATGTTATTTTGAGGCTTTTGTGTATGTGTTACTAGGAAAACATGCTTACTATTGCTCTGTAAAATCAAAAATTTGAAGAGTTTTCAAGACATCTGCTTCACAAGAAATATGATCAAACTACTAGTTCCATGATACTTAGGAAATCTCACTATGGCTGCATCCTTAAAGCAAAAAATGCATACTTAATATTTTTATGTCAATTTTTCATTTCATAGTGTAGTACAAAATTAAAAACGTTAAAATCATTGATATCACTGTTTTTTAACAAAAGAATCATGCTTGAACCATTTCTACTCAGTCGAAAAAGGTGTACAGAGAATAACATCCTATACTTGAACTACAGAAAGGACCGACCTACTTCTCCCTCGGACTTCACGAATGGCTCGATCACAGAGTACAGTCACGTTACGCATCGTAGCATCTCCGCCACTCCGACCTCAGGCCACAGGGACATCTCAGAGACGTACCAGCATAGTCCGAAGAGTCCCAGTTACAACGGACCTTCATCACCCACGGTGCGTGAAATCAAACTTTTTGTCATTCAATATCACACAAATTTCAGAAGAGCGTTTTATAGTAAACTGAAGGCCGATTTTACTAATCAGGGACCCAAAATTGCGCCTAGGGCACAAACTCGACCAATGAGAAAGAGTTTTTGAGGTAACACAGATCTAATGAATATATTCGGTTTCTTGTAAAATGTCTCCCAACCAGAGAAGAATTATACGATTTGTTTAATATGAGCCCCTCATTCCCATATTGAATCAATACTTCATAAATCACCTGATTACAAAAATATATTTTTTCATTCGAGTCCGTGACACCAGCACCATGTTTTTCCATTTCCTTTACTTTTTTTTTGATACCCTCTGCAGCTGGTTAATCACGGTGTTTTTCTTTATCAAGAAATCTGTTTTTAATTTGTTCTTGGCATACAGCTGTGTGTAGTTTGTATAATTTTTTACTATTGTACCATGTATCCGGTTTTCACCAGGTTACTGGGTGTTTCCCTCATCTTTAACGTAAATAACATTTAGCAACATCCTCGCATACTACTGTAAGTTAATTTAAATTCATTTTGCACAATTGTTGCTATTTTTCTCAATGTTATTGCAGCTCCTGATGATGATGGCAAAGACCATTGAAAGCTAGAGAGATTAAAAAAGTATAGAGTCCTCCTTGCTTAATTTTGTCGAAGTACCAAACAAAAGGAGGAAGCTCTAATTTTTCACCTAACTGGTCTAGACGACAATGACCACGTCACAAGATAAGTAGTGACACTCTTATTTTCAATAAAATGCTCATATCAATCTATTAGGTTTGATCCATGTTTCGAGCAGGGTACAAATTCTTCGTTTTGATTGGTGAAATTTGCGACTGTATCGCAAATCCTTCTTTTTCATTGGTCGCAAGTTTTGTGCCAAATGTAAAACATAGGTTTTTGTGACTAAAATTAGGGGTCCATCTTACACAAATCCTATAATTTTTCGCTAGTTTGAGAGACATTCTACAAGAAATCGGCCATATTCATTCATTGCTTCAAAAACGCCTTCTCATTAGTTCAATTTGTGCAATAGGCGCACATTTTGATTTCCGCGAGTCTTTGTAAAATCGGGCCTAAAATCTCTTGAATTTTGTTCAATAATTGACACAGCATCTAACATAACTCGAAGTAGTCTAATTAGACGGAAAAAAACATTATCTGCAATAATTGCACCGGTTTTACTAGACAATCAAGTTCTTGACAGCAAATGAGCAGCAGTCTGATCGACGATAACAAAACAATTTAGGAGTCAATATCGAGTATGGTCAAAATGCGTGTGGTGTCTAGGTGGTAAACTACCGCTGAAGAGCTTAAAATAATGTAATCTGAATGAAACAATGCTTGACTTCAAGGTTAGTTACGGATTAACACTGACAAGTACCTGATGTTGCTAACGGAATACTGTATTTTTTCCTATTTTTGTTTCCAGGTTTATTACGATACGTCTCGTAGAAGTTCTCTGACTTCAAGCAACGAATCGCCACATGAAGTATCTGCTGCTAATGTGAAATTTGTCAGAGATACGTCCAAATATTGGTATAAGCCTACAATATCTAGAGAACAAGGTACGTGCGTCTAACATATCTTAATCTGACTTAACCTACTTCTGAATTCTTGCTGATTGTCAATTTGCTGAGATAATCAGATAGCTTCAAGGATATAAATGCGAGATATACAGCGTGTTCCAACTTTGCTCCTTAACAAAAACTATTCAAAGAAAACTACGAAATATATGTATATCTGTAATTGTAATGTAAATTATATAGGGTGTCCCAATTTTAATCCACAGATAAAAGTTCCGTACCTCCTGAATAGAGAATAGTTACGATTCTTTCGTTCGTTGTCCACAGACGAGAGACCAAGCCTTAGACCATGCTGATGGGTAGCCAAGAAACCCGAAACAGCTGTTCATGGTTGGCTGTCTTTTGGTCGGTCGGACGATGTTTAGTTTATTCAATGGCAAATAGACCACATCTAATTCTCAGCCAAAATCGTCAGCCATCTAGCGGTCACGTGGTGACTGGGCTATTAAATTTGAACTGAGATCCCTAACAGTTTCAATTAATAGCAGCTCTGCGCACTCCGCAGTGGTCGATTCTGGTTGTGATAGATGGCGCTTTATGCAGTCTTATTTCAAAGTCAAGGATTATTGACAATCTGTCTATAAATCAGGCTTTTATCAAGAAATCAAGTAAGTCAATGCTTTTGTGTTGTAATTCATTATTACAGATTATTATTATAATATAAAACTATTTTTTTGAGATCTCTGAAAATGATGACTATAAGTAAACATAACTAAAATTCAAACAATTCGTTCGTCTATAGAAAATGTTCAAAAATGCCCCCTTGCTGCTGACCACACAATCGAAATCTTCAAACGAATGTTTGTTTCACACTTTCTAGCGTGTGTTCACTACATTTAGAAACTCTTCTTATATCTCTGGTTCATATTCTCTGTATTCGAAGTCTTCAACTGTGTGTTCGACATCAAAGGGGCATTTTTGAAAATTTTCTTTAGTTAGTAGTACAAACAGTTTAAATTTTAATTGTTTACTTTCCATGTTAAAAAATTAATTTTATATTATAATATCAATCTGTAACAACGTAATTACACAAAACATTGACTTACTTGGTTTCTGGATAAATAAATAATCATTTACTGGTTTTTTGTTTTCATGGTTGATATGACTTGTTGGAATATAAGAAAATCCATTTTTTTAACAAACAGCTATCACACAGAAAACGTTTGAATAAAGCGGTAACAACCTTATATTAGGGTATTGGATTGTGCAAAAATATACAGGGTGTTTAATTTTTTTTTTTTTTCGAGAAAGTACATTTTGCGTTTTTGAAGTATATTTGCGCATTAATCGTTAAAAAAATGAAAAATGGATGAATTAGGCTAATTTAGGCTAAAACAGTATGATGAAACTTTTTGAAGTAAAACTCGCTACTTCAACTATTAAGATAGGTACCTAGGCTGTCAACCTGATGTTTTTTAGATAAAATACCCAACGACTCAACAACTAATTACCAAAACCCATAAGTATTTTATATCAATCTTGTTCTTTTACAAGATCCTATCCGAATGTGTAATAAAAAATAGTGCGTTCCATTTAGGAAAAATCAGCTTTGATGTGTGAGTCACCCTGTATAATTATCAACATTTTAGAAATATGTAGTTTTCTTTAAAAGCTTTTTCATTAGGAGAAATAATCCGTCCTCCAATTGGGACACCCTGTACATTCTGCATGCTGGTTATGGATTGTCTGACTACCTTAACGAAATGTACAAGAAAAAGTAGAATGCGGATAAGCTAGCATCAAATGATAAGGAGAAAGAAATAATGTTTGCTTTTTATTTTAGCTATCCTGATGCTTCGCGACAAACCTCCAGGCACCTTCGTCGTACGGGACTCAAACTCTTTTCCAGGAGCGTTCGGTCTGGCGGTACGCGTAGCCATTGTACCTCCCACTGCTCCCACTAGATCAGGAAGTGCTGATGACCTCATCAGGCATTTCCTCATTGAACCAACATCACGGGGAGTCAGGCTCAAAGGATGTCAAGGAGAACCAGTATTCAGGTGATAATTCAAAACTCGATTATTATACTAGAGAAATTTCCGCAGAACGTCTTTGAAGTTTGCTGGTCGCGTTCATTCACCTTGATCCTTTCATTATTGGCTGAACAGGTGTCGATCCTGTGCTGGCAAATTACCAGAAAATATTTAGAACTACTGAATTGATATTAGGCTGAATGAAGTTATACAGTTTTATTATTGTTGCAAACCATTTCCTACATTCATTTTTCTAAATTATATTACACACTATTAGACATCTCACCACACATGTTTTTAGTCTCATTTGCCAAGAATATTACTTATGCTTAATGCTTAATTATTCGCTACAAGTAATGAACAATAAATTCATAAAAAAATATCTATCTACAACACCGAATTCATCTCCCGTCAAATGACATGTCATGATTTTGTCAGTATATCTCTCTAATTTTATTTGCTTTTTCTCTACTCTCTTTGTATAGTTTTTCATGGAGCCTATATACCATGAGAAACTACGGCAATGCTGTTCGTGCTGTAAAAACGACCAAAAACTTGACGCCTGGAGTACCAGCGGTGCTTTGACAGGGTTGCCATGTTGCATGATTTCCACCCATATTTGGGGAATTTTACTTGCTGATTTTTTAGAGGATATAGCGGGGGAAATCCTATGTTTCGCGGTGAAAAGCATCCCCCTGCTCTTTGAACCAAACCTACCTATTTCCATTAATTAACTGTGATTTGGGGGATTTTATTTGAAAAAGTAGTCATTCTGGAGGATTTTTGTGTTTGATTTGGAGAAGTTCCGTCTGACCAATCTGGCGACGCTGTGGTGAGAGATTCACCATATTAGCACTTTCTTTAGTCTAAGGTCCGGTCGCTTGACTCTATCTGGTTTTTTATAAAACTTGATTTTTTTGTAGGATAAATAATAGTAGAATGTAGGGTATCCTTTGCTAGGCAAGTCATAAAGATTGAGTGTTATCAAAAATACAGATACCTTCAGAATCACGCAGTCGGATCTCGTACTATAGCCTCAGATACCCTGGACTTGCGCAGTAGCTGTGACTCACTTCGATCACTGAGTCCTCAGTCGGGCGGTTCTCCTGGTATATAGGCTCCATGGTGCTCTTTGATTATTATACTTTGAGAGACAGTGACAACTAGGGTTGCCACCTTTTATTAGGAGAAATACGAGTATTTTTTCATTTTGCTAGAACAAAAATAAAGCAGAGACCATGAAATGAGAACGTTTGTTAAAAATTTGTTTCATTGTTTGCCCTAAAAAAACATCTTTTTGTAGGTATTTCCAACATTCAATAAATATTTGCCTGTTTTAAAGATACAGCCTCTTAGTAATCAAAATATACAATCAATTGATTTTTAATTAAATTGAGAGCAGCCGTATATCTTCTCTCCGCTTTACTTTCAGCGAATGCCGCAGTGGCAGGAACAGACAAAAATATGAAGCAAATTTGTATATATTTGATATATATTTACTTTTATTGAATATGCATTGCCACTTTTGATAGATCAGAAAAGTCTAGATACTGAGTACTAGTTTGCTTAGGCTCATAAGTACTTATTACTAGTAACGAGCCGGTAACAATCAATTCTACGTGAAATAACTAATTTTTACGTACTTTACTTCGTCTATCATAGAGCACGCATACATGAAAAAGAGGACAATACCCTCGTTTAGAGTACAGATGGTAAGCCTAGTTGACAACCCCAGCTGCCTGCATGAGCGCCTACATAGCAAAATTCAGAGGGGGGGTAGGTTAAGCCTACAGGCTCAGTCAACCACTTTGAAGCAGGGTTGCAAGCTGTATGAAGCGGTGTGTGAAAAAATGTCTATCTAGGGCTGTTTTGATGAGTAAATAAAATACAAGCCACTTGTTGTTGCCCTTGTACAGACAAGGGGGACTTACACCTCCCTCCTTACCACCGTAATGGGCGCCCATGGCTGCCAGCAACCTCAAACGGTTTATCCACATTGGGCATTCTTGTTTTCTGATTATAATCATAAAGTTGTACACAAAACTCAAGGTGCTGAATTTCTAGGCTGTCACTATAGCCTAGAAGTGTTTTAGCTTGACCTAAATATATCAAGGGATGTACCGAGGTAGTAGGCCAATGTTTTCCAATATTCATTTATTTCCATGAAGGAATTTTTGACTATCATAAACTGTCAAATACACCCATCCAAACAAATGAATGACATTATGTTGACAGGAATACATTGTCTCGTCATTAAATCAAACCACGTATGCTTGAAATACTTTTTAATGACGACGTTTCGGCCACCACGGTTGCCTTTTTCAAGCACAATAATAATGACATACCCAGGGTGTGGCAGCATAACTTTCGTTTTTAAAATGCAAGCCATTTAGTCGTAGCGAAGCGCCTAGTGCCTAGTTCCAAAGGCGGGACTATACAGTTTTGTCCCAGCACAGTTCAGTCGCCATCTTGATCGTGTTTTTGTCGAGCGGATGTTCTGTCATCGGATCCCAGCGCACCTGGAATCGCTTTAATTCAGCTCCGTTGTCCCCTGTGACGGACCGGAAATCAATTATTGTAATGTAGGTTACTACGTTCAGACAAACTGCAAGTGCGATAAGACGAAGAACATTGAGGCAGTGAAAGCCCCACTACGGCGTTCTGCGCACAAACGTGCGTCCGCCCTTGGACTTTCCGAATCCCTTCCATCCTTCCAAGATGGCAATTAGGCAGGAACTTTATGAACATGACTTCAGTTCTCGAATAAACTCATTCCTGAGGACGCTATTGTTTTTTAGCGATGAAGCCCATTTTCATTTGTGTAGATCAGTCAACTAAACATGCGCTACTTGGCTGACACCAATGGTCGAGAATTGCATCAAAGGCATTTACCCAAAGTCACAGTTTAGTGTGCAACTTCCTCAGCTGAAATCATTGGTCCCTGATTCTATGAGGGAAATGAAGTCGCATTAGCAGTGAATTCGGACCCGTATGAAAACATGTTACAGAACTTTTTTTTCACGCCTAAGTTTAGGCATGCGCCTACGTTATAAAGAACAAATAAACGTTCTGATTCATACGGGTTTCATTAAGTTTTAAAAAAGGAAATTATACTGCAGACCATGAAATCATATCAACATGAAAACCTTGGGGTGAGTTTCAGGTGTTACATTATATGATGTTGCCTAGCTAAGTGTTCAACTGATCGGGTCCACTGTAAATGACCGTTTGGGATTATCAGAAATGCATTGTTGGAAAGAAATTATCTCTGACGAAGTGACTGAGTCAAAGTTCCTTCTAATAACTGGCACTTAAGTTCTTGGTCCATCAAAAATTTAAAACCTTTCGAGAATATTCTATAAGTAAAAATGAAGTAACTGATTGTATTTCTGTTTTAGTTCGCTGTCTGCATTGATATATCAACACTCGATTACACCAATGGCGTTACCTTGCCGATTATTGTTGCCTCAAGAAGATTTCATCAGTTCAGATAGACAAGGACAACATTCGCTGTATACTCAGGGAGCTGCTTGCAACGTACTGTATCTGAATAGTGTAGATATGGAGTCTTTAACAGGTAAAAATTAAAAAAATGTTCAAAAAACAAAAATTCATGAAATTATTCGAATTGTTGTGCGCTAGTAGGTGACGAATGCCACCTACCAATAGTTTGACACTTTGATTTTTATCCTTATCCCATAGGATGAAGAAGACAAACCCTTACATCCTCTGGCTTATAACTACTCGACGTTTTGCGCTTTGCACAAAAAATGTCGTACCACCATCGCGGTCGACCCATTAAGGAGTCGGACTATCCACAGAGCAAAGGATGAAATGAGGATCTTTCAGTTTCGTCTCTGTAACCATGACCAACAGCAGACAACGCGGTTTCGTCCTCATTAGCAACTCTTCAGTACGGCATAGGTTTAGCCTTGGAAATAGGCGGCAGGGAAGCAAACCATGGGGTATGATCTTTTGGAAAACTTAAGCTTTGCTTCCCGCCTTCGCCTCCCGTTCGTCTATCTCCGAGGATAAACATATACCGCACTGTCGAGTTGCCAATGAACGCAAAACAGCGCAGTCTGCAGTTGGTCATGGTTACAGAGACGGAAAGCAATCATGCTCGTTTCAGTCTGTGAAAACTATTCAAATTATCAATTTTATTTGAATACGCGTGGCGTTGCCTCTCACAATAAAGCCGAGCTGCAGGACTAGCATTGCGTCTACATTCCCCATAAATGAAATGCATGTTGGCCTATTCCTGTACGGTGTGGCACTACACAATCATAAATTAATAAAAGTGGCGTGCCTTGCTGTCACTGCGTAGAATGACACTGTCCGTTATACCGTCTAAGAAAAATATCATCACAGGGTGCAGATTTTCCGATTTTTTTAAAAGATTAAAATTTGAAAAGTACAGGACTTAGATTTTTTATTTTTCTGATAACTAGTATGGCTTAGCCTATCGCCCGTTTCCGGCTTCACGTTGACTTCTGGGACACCCTTTATATCGTGCACCTCATTATTATCAAAAAAATGCATAACTGGTGAAATGCGAATCGAATACTTTCTGAAATCAGAGAGAACAGATCAACTGGTTTCAACCGTTTTAGGTTGATCTCTATACCAGTGACGAACTTACCTTCGAATACAGACTTCTTATGTCAACCAAGTATTTTGATACTATTAGGCAAACTAGCAATATTCTCAATGTAACTGTAACTACATCCTATCTTTTTTTTTCAATTTTTAGGTCCCCAAGCCGTGAAGAAAGCAGTGATGACCCTTTTCCAAAAATCACCAACGCCTACGACCGCTGTAGTCCATTTCAAAGTGAACGACCAAGGAGTCACGTTAACAGACAATAAGAGAAAATTATTCTTCAGAAGGCACTATCCTATCCCCACTGTATCTTACTGTGGCATTGATCCTGAAGAAAGAAGGTGGTTAGTAAATGCTGAAGATGCGGGAGGTGTCAAGAGTTCCAAGTAAGTATACATCAGTTATTGACAAAGATCCAAAAACGTGAACCAGAAATATTGCAATAACCTCAAAACTCTTACGAATAAACTACAAACATCAAAATCACGAATGCTTATTTTGCCTAAAAGCAGAAAAGAAAAAACAAGTTATCTGGAAGACAGGTACCATGAAGCCTATATACCACGAGAAGCGATATCAATGCTGTTCGTGATGAGTACCGGTGGTGCTTTGACAGGGTTGCTATGTTGGGGATTTTCCTCCAAGTCTGAGGAAGTTTTACTTGGGGAACTTTTGGGGATATAATGTTCGCGGATAGAAAGCATCTCCTCGCTCTTTGAACTTAACCTACCTTTTGAAGGATTTTTGTGCTTATTTTGGGGAAGCTCGGTGCGACCCACGTGGCAACGCTGTGTTTTGACAGATCCACCATATGAACAACAAGCCGATTGCCATTTGGCTCAATGTAAATTTACTCAACAATTTTGCTTATTTCTTCAAAATCCTTGATGTAAATAGACGGAAGTATGTTGGAAATTGTTCGTGTTATTTAGCTATTTGTGAAGAACTGTTGAAAAGCCTCCCTTTGTGTGTTGATGAATTGTTTAACGCGGGAAAACAGTAACATGTTCAATGTTGAAATTCCTGCTATTCTCCAAAATGCTGGTGAAAAACTTTTTTATCCAAAGACCGACCAGACTTTGGATTAAGTCATTGATAGAAGTATAACCAAAATTGGTGGATCACCCGCGAAAAGTGTGACTTATGAGTATAAAAACAAAATTTCGTACAACCTATAAGTTTACACATAAGTGATTTTAGGTTTTTAGGGCCCTACGCGAGAGATTTCACCAGTCATTTAACATCAAACTGCTGTATCAGCACAAGTTGTCAATTTGAGATTATAATTCCTAACCTCAAAGTCCCTGCGCATGCGCAGTAACTGATACACTCCTGTTATTGCGCCCTCCGTCAGGCGTCAAGTTTTGAGGTCGCTTTTTTCTCATTTAGCAACAATAGCACCCTTCCTACGGTCTTATGCCTGAAGGTTACTTCCCGCTAAGTGCAGGGAAACGTTGAAATCGACAGCACTCGGGCATTGTGGAGTAGGCAGCAAATATCTTGGCGAGCACTTCTGGCTTTGGGTCAGCTTCAATTGTTCCTTCTTGACAAGTAAGCTTCGAGCTGCGTGGCCAGCGTTCAAAAAGGTCGACTGCGCATTGTACCATCAATATTTTTCGTTAGAATACATTTATTTAAAGTATGAATGCATCTATTGAGACCAACATGTTCTTTTTTCCAGTCGCATATTCGGCTTTGTAGCAAGAAAATCGAACGTTAGCAACCCCGACAACCAGTGCCATCTATTCGCCGAACTGGAACCAGAGCAACCGGCCACGGCCATTGTAAACTTCCTTAACAAGATTCTCAGCTCCAGCGGCATCAAACCTAATATTGTATAAAGCTATTTTGTAGATTGTTTAATGCACACGGAGGAAATGAACTACATCACAAAACGATTTTTGAAGGATGAAAAAATTAGGTCAAATGATGAAAGGCTAGCTTGTGATGAATATGTTTATTAAAATTTGAGCAAATATGGTCAACCGCAATAAATGACAACTGCGACTGGGGGTTTTTAACTGTCAGACTCAACAAAAACAGGCAAGTTAAACGCCGTGGTCCACGTAAAATTTGAAATGTTTGACTAATAGTTAGGGGCAGAACAAAATGGTTGGGAATTGTTGAAGAAGGTTCGTTCCAAATCGATGAATATATATCTTTGCAAATGCAATAAACTGTTTTAATGAACCTTTTGAAATGATTCAAAAACCATTGAGATAAAAAAAACTCGAGAAGGGCACGTTTGTAGAAAATAAATAAAATTTCCGCTCTACTAGTTGAGGTTAACTGGTTCAACTTCAGTTTCAAGATTTGTCTCACACATACAGGTCAAGTTTCAATGCAAAAAAATATTTTAAACGATTTTGTCGAAAGTTAAAAATAACATCCTCAGTCTGCCTTAATGAACAATTTCCGATAAGTTTTTTAATTGCCCCTTTTCTAAAGCTCTATGTGGTGGACTATACATAGACATTGTAAATAATCCAAAATAGATTTTGGAATAATATAGTATACTCAATAAAAATAATTTTAAAAAAAAATAAATTATCACTATGACCAGCCTTTCAATATTTGAACAGTTATGTTCTAATAATCGGTCAGTATTTGCGACATACTTATGGTTGATTCTAAAATAATTGCCGAAAATTTTGACAGCTAGTCCATTTTTATCATTTTAAAGCGTAGTTTTTAAGAAATTTTATTTTAATTTCGAAACTTTATTGTACCCTGTACATGTACATATATTTACATACATATTTATGTGTTGAGAGAGAAATTCATTTGTGAATTTTTTTATTTAAACCAAATGCTTATGGAAACTGATGACGTACATACATAATATGCAGCTACTGTTAACTGGTTCTTGTTAGTGTTAAAGTATATTATGAAATTTTAAGATACCAAATATATTGAAGATAAATATAGAGCTTGAATCATCAAAATAATGTGGTGTGTCCATATCGTATAAACATTTAACTTTTTAAACAATGGCGTGCAAAAAAATATCTCATAGATGCAAGAGTTGCTAATTATTTTGTCTTTCAAATTATTAAGCATTTTTTAGTGCTTTTGTTACGATTACTGAACGTAAGTGCATTTAAGTTTATGTTAAAATAACTAACGTATATGTTCAAACTGAAAAAAATAAAATTTCTAGACATCCAACAAAAAAGCTGTAATACGTGACTAATACTTATAAAAAACACTTTTTGGTAACGATGAAGATTATTTTTGTATGTCATTGTTAAACACATATTTATTTTGTCACATCGCTAACAAGACATGATCAGTCATTATTTTGTAATCAGGGTAACTTCTTTAGACCTGTACTCACATTTCTTGTTAACACTATTATATTGAATATTTTATTGTATTTAACATTGTAATTTTCATTTCATCAATAGTACAAAAGTAATCATTAATCAAAATGTCAATCAAATCTGTTAATTATATATTACTGTTATCATGTAATAGGTATTTAGAGTATATTAAAACAAAATATACAGAAACTAATTTAAACGAGAGTTTTCATTTCGATACCTGTGTTGCTATTTTGAAAATTGGTGTTATAACTGGAAAGCTACTAGTTCACAGCACAAAAGGCACCAGCGTTTTTAGTGGTTCCTGAAAATTGTGTCACCCCTATATGGAGCGATTCAAATCTCGTGGTTTGACCTTTATCAACGCGTAGAAAATCAAGAAAAGATAGTTTGAAACCAGCGTGGTCTCGGCAAATATTTTGCCAGTGGTTATAGTATTTACCCTGGTAAGTATATCTCTGTGAATTCCAGTGTCACATTACTGCAACTACCTGTATGTAAAAACAACGATTCTTGAATAAAAGTCCTGAATTACATAATATAATACACTAATTAATGTGTCTTAATTGTTTCGAGGTCCTGAACATTTTTGTCACTTCTCTGGCAGTTTTCACGTCAATTGTTTTACTTCCAACGCCTATTGGGGGAGCGACATTAAAAGTGCTACACCCAGAAAAAATAATTTCTTCAACTTGTTTTTTTTTGGCAATGGTTTGGAGAAGGTAGACCTGTTACTATGCGTACAGTCTATCGTCGCATTCCAGCCTTTGGACTTTTTTCATACCGTCCACAGTTAGTGTTTCCTCTGACTGCGGACTACTGTAGACGAATATTTTTCCATCTTGATGCAGGGAACAATATGATAAACTTTGCGTCAGGTACGTTAGACATTTCGTTTGGAGTCCCCCAGGGTTCTGTTCTTGGAACAATCTTTTTCCTCTTATATATTAATCAGTTTGATTATATTCATCCAGATACTCAGGTTACAGCAACTGCTAATGGCTTTCTGCCATAACCTCGAGTAATTCAGATGTGATTTTGGAAAATAAATATAATGACTTAATTAGGAAAATCAATACATGATTTAACCAGTAGTCACTATACTTGAATCCATTCAAAACAACGCTTATTCGTTTTCATCATGCACAAAAAACGGTAGAAGTTTCGAGTTAGATTGGGTGACGATAAACACGATTTTAGAGGAAAAACGAAATTTCTTGGAATTCATTTTGATTCGAAATTAAATTGGAAGGCCCACTATGAATTTCTTATACCAAAGATAAACTCTCAAAGCTACGTATGCGGTGAAGCATTAAAAAACCATATTTTAACAACTGAACAACTGATACAAGTTTATTTTGCTAATGTGGATTCAAGCATAAGATATGAACTATATTTCTGGGGTTGGTCAACGCGCGGAAGATGTATTGGTGTCTCAAAAAAGATGCGGAGAAGGGTATATGTACTATATAACAAATAGAATAAATAATGGGCAAAATCCGCAAAAAGAAGGAAAGTGGATTCGACCACAAAGTACGATAGGTAACCCGAGCGATACGTATTTTTGCTTGTTGGCTTCATCAGGTCCAAAATGATTGCACATATGCAACTACTAAAGTAGATACACAAACCCATACATGATCGAGGGAACAAATCGACACACGAAGTCACCAACAAGAGACAATCTACACATTGTAGTATAATGGCCAGAAGGCCTAGAATCTTCAAGGCGACATCTAACCACAACCACGAGGCCGGTTATAGTCACTTCAAGTAGTACTTGAAGCCCAAAGGATCTACAAAAAGAAAGGTATATATCAAATATTTGATTTGTTCCCTCTCCATCTTCGTTTCCTCAGGTTACACCCGTATCCGGATGTATGGGCATGGGCATGTGTATTTACTTTTGTAGTTGAATATGTGCATTCATTTCGGGGCGGCTGATAGAGTGAACATGTTTATAAAAATAATGATAAATTTAAACGAAACTGGGATATGCACAATTATGGTACTAGGACTTGTAATAATTTATATGTGAAGTTCAGCAAATCAAAAGCAGCATTTTGCTCACCTAATAAGGTTTTTCCTATTCTTTTTAATCATGTCCCAAGCCATATTTCGTCGATTAAAAATATTAACCAGTTTATGTTCCACTTGAAGCAATTTTTAATTTTTAATACAAAAATGCATGTAAATGAAATTTTGAACATTATAATTTAAGATAATTTGTAAGTTGTAGCTTACGTAGAATTGACAATTCCAACACAATTGTAAATTGTCTGAATGGAGATTATGGTTTTGGATTTGGATTGAAATTGATTTGGATGATGTTAATTGTGACAATAACGCTTTGTATTTTTCTTATCTAAAGTATTCCTAAACTTCGATTTTTCAAAGTCGAATCTATGAGTCACTTTCGGCTGGAGAAGTTCACCATGTTATCATGTTGGTAATCAATTTACCTGAGTCCATTTTTTTATCAGAACTCCATCGCTACTGCTCATATACTACACAATTTACCCACCGTCAGCCGTGAGCAGGACGCTCAAAGGCATGCAAGCACGTTCAGAGGCAATATTTTTAAATTAGTATATCATACGGTCACATACCCCCGAAAAAGGTAAAATGTCACGAAGTGGCATTCTTGGAAGCTAATGCGAAATATTCTGAACAGCTGAATTGCAAAGAAATATGTACTTTCCAAAAACCCATGCCTCTGCTGAAACTCTTTCAACTTGGGAAGTCTTGAAAAGTTTACAAAATAGTATGAATGGTCCGCACCTAAAAGAATGTGAAAGTTGGACTTTATCATGAGTCGAGGCATTTGAAATGTGATTGCACCAAAGCACAACTAGAAACAAGTAGGAACCGTAACAAAAATATCTCAAATATTAATAACCAATGACTAAGAGATGAATTCCTTGGGCTAATTTTAAACGGTTAAATCGAAGAACACTTTTCTTTGCCACGTTCGGGGCAGCTGGATTAAATATGGTGGAATTCTGACAAATACGAGTATATTAGATATTGGGCCCGATTTAGCTAATCGTGAAAAAACATTTGCGCCAATGGCATGAATTCTACCAATGGGAAGGCGTTGTTGAACTAATGAATATGGTCGATTTCTTGTAAAATGTCCTAATTCTGTACGGAGGGCCCTAATTCTCATATTAATTCAAAAAATACTTCATATATCACCTGGCTTAGCTACAAGAACCTATTTTTTCGTTTTGCCCCGGAAAAATACTTTGCGACCGACGTGCAAATTCGACCAATCAAACAAAAGAATTTGCGGCCTACTCAAAACATGGATCAAGCATAATACAATGGCTTGATATGACAGCAGTTACTGAGAATTTTATTGAGAACAGCATTGTCACTACTCACCTGAGAGGTAATTAAAAAAAATGATATCCCCTTATATATCCCATTGAGGTGAGTTTTTTTAAATTAATTTTCTACATTATATAAATAAAAAGGAAAGATATATGATATCAAAGATCTGATAGAAGAGATACATCTGTAATTAATAAATGAATAACTGAATTTTGAACCTTTTTATTTTCGGATATGGAAGGGTCTTGATCCATACTACCTATCATTTCACTGTGTCCATTAGTACGGAACCTTCTGTATGCATCTCAGTATGTCAGGTAGCAGATTTTACCTGGACCGTGGGTAAGTATCCCTCAATATCAGCTTTTTCTCGGTTTCTAGCAGAACTCTCATACATTCAACAAGAAAAATACAAAATCACCTTTGAAATACATTCTCAGGAATGTAGCCTGCACGACACTGCACCATCAACCCTCATCCGGCGATGCGCAACCACAAATTTCAATAAAGAAGCCCCTACAATAAGGCCGGAAGGAAATACGAGAAGCGATACGCTTATATGAACACAACTTAATACTGTCGATGGATGGATATCGGAATATTATACCTATACGTATGTATATGGCATGTACGTATTTGAAAAACAGATTATAAATGCCAGAGAGAACTCTTTCCAATAACATGGCTTAAAAAGTAATGGAAAAAATGGCGTGAAGTAGGTTGACTTCCTATGCAACGCCACCATCAGTTCGTAAACGATAATGTTTAGCACAAGTTAGACCCTCTGAGAAAAAAGTTAGTTACGAATATGTACAAATGGATCAAGTCAGCCAAACATTCACCGGTGAATCCAGCAAGCAGACCCAGACGCCTTTCGACAACATTTCTCTATCATTCTAGGTTTCACGGAGAAGTTTAGGGAGAAATATATGAGGAGTGAAATATGTGCAATAGGTGCATAACGTTACCGGGGTTTGGAGGTATAAATATACTTACGGCACAATATCGAGATATACCCTCCTCTACCCCTCACAACCTCCAACAATTTTTTTTCTGAAAATGATAAGGAGTTTTTGAAGTGTCTAAAAACAAAGTTTTAAACATTCATTTTCGTGTTTTTTGGCCCTAGCTCTATCGCCACTCGATGGATTCTCAAAAAATAAAAAGCTTTTTCGTCCGTAGCAGCAATCTTTGGTGAAAATTTAATCAAAATCCGAGCTGTACTTCCCAAGTTATAGATGTGCCAAGAACTAGCGGAAAGGCCGACAGACAGGCGGGCAGACGGAAATAAGTGACATGGTTTTCTCGTGATGTACATGTGATAACATTCAAAAACAACATCTCATTTTCAAAAAATTTCACGATTACATTACGTCCTCGCCATTATGCGTGGGGAGTAAAAGGAGAGAAAGCAGAAGTAGTTAAAAAAAATAAAAATATCACCAAGTAAATTGAATCTTCAAAGAATGCTATCAGTTTGTAGTTGGCTTGGATTTTGAAGCGGTTAATATTTTTTTTGATAGAAACGACCGAATAGCGCGAGATCTAGCTCTTGGATGACCAAATTTTGTCGCAGATCCCCTTGCGTCATCTATCACAATGGTGAGCTAAATCATACATACAACATTTGCGTTGTGCAATTAGTCCCGGAAATGTCTTCGCATCCGCTCGGAAAAATATTCTTATTCGTTTTTTTTTAATAGTCTTATTCAAAATGGATCCCCTTTAACGAATCTGCACGTTCCCAGGCCCGAAATTGCGTCAGAAATTATTCAAATACTATTTTCGACAAATTCCAAAAATTGTTTGTGCATGGTCTCAATGGAATTCATGAATTAGTAACATTGAATCTCAAAGTAAGCA